ATATCTTAAACTCATGGCGCTTTACAACACTGTACGGGGGACTTTACCAGACTGCTAAACTGTTTACAATCAAATGAAAGCGAATATAACAGATGCCCCCTCCCCCCTATTCCCAGTAACCAGGCCAGACCACATCACAGTAATCTCGTGAAGTGGGTTCTTTAGCGTCCCCTGCCTAACCAAATTAACTAATTAATAGTTGCAGGAGACGGGACCACCATTTATTCGTCCCTATCCGAGAAGACTAGAATATCTTACCCTTTCTTGATCGATGTTATAGAAAGGTAGCATATTCTTCTCAATTATTTTAAGACCCTGAGTGTTGGTCCGGCCGGGGCTCGAACCCTAGACCTCCCGCACAACAGTCCGGCGCTTAACCAATTGAGCTAACCGGGAGGCGATTTACCAGTCTTTGATACCTAAAACTATGACAGCTCATACTTAATTAGATAGGAAGGATAGCATTGTTCGTCATTAAAAATGACAAAGATCTGCGGTTGATTTTCGTCGTCGACGCATGAATCGTACAAATCACTGGCAGGATTGTTTGGATCTTTCAGAGGCGGTCGAAGAAAACCTGTCTCTCCGAGCGTGTATTCCCCTGTTAAGACCTTTGCGAGGAACATGAATCTCGTCTTTTCCCCACTTAGACTACTGTAGTTATTGCTGTAGGAGGCGTCTCTAGCAAAGTAGCTCCCTTCTCCATACTTTGTCCCGTGCTTTCCTCGCACTCTATGGTCAAAGTTCTGCTTGCAGATGGCATCAACGACATGTGATGACGTACCATGGAACAACAACTTCTCTATCTGATCGTACCTTTTAGCTTTCAGTTTCCTTTTAATTCTTTCTCGCTTACTGGATTGATAAAAGAAAGAAGAAGGGTTAATTGATAAAAGTGTTTGGGTGCATTTGTTAAGGGTAAAGGGGCTACTTAAATTCTTAGGCGTGTGCTCAAGCTGCACTGCCCATATACCCAGTTAAGAAAACTAATACCTAGGGCAAACTTCATTGTTCCTTGTTTTATAACGCTTCTTATTACATCGCAAGTAGTGCCCGTGGGCAAAATGAAGCGGATCCTGTGTTCTGATTAGCTACCCAAGCGGACAAGAAGGGCTTGTCTTGTCCAATCGGGATTGCACGCTTTGATCCCGCGCAAGAAAATAAATTACTTAGAGCAGACATACAAATTTCGTAATTTTTGGACTACGTCGGCAATGGAGTCGCAAAACGCGGCAGAAGACAGTTAAAAAAAATAAATATTAACGACTCTTGTAGTTTATTGTGATGTAGTTTTTCGTAGCTCCGATTTTAAGGGACCAAACGTCACTTAGATGTAATCCAAACAGAAGACTGATTTTTTTTTTAAAAGAACCAGATCAGAAAAGAATCAGCCTCAGACGTAAGATGTGCATTCGTCCCTTGCAAATTCGCACATAATCTTCCCTTGCTAGTATACAGTATCAGCTGCTTTAAATGTTTCACCTTTCGTATCTGTCAAATAGCTCTTCGTTCCAAATTCTTTCTACCATCACTATGGAGGCTTGGTGTACTGGCATTGTTTCGTGAAAGCGTTCACTCACATATTGGTATTACTCGCTTTCATTTTCCAAGCAATTCCGTTCAAAATCTATAACCATGCCTCTCGGATAACTAAAAATGTAATAAAAAAGGAATGAATTAGAGAAACACGAATGGCCATATGTTAGATCCAGAGATGAGGGGACTAAAGTGCATGCTTTTAGGAAACATCAATCTTAATTTTCAACAAGTAGAAAAGCTCATTCCCTGATGGTGAGTACCTCACCACGCAAAGAATTCCCTATCCCCAACGATGACGATAACAATTTAAGGACTGCTTTTTGCTATTCGAGCCAGGTAAGTCCCTCTATTTTTAACTGATATAAGTAAGTGAAAATGGCAACAGCACATTCAGCGTTCACTTACCTCTTTTTGGTCTGGTATGTTGGTTTTGAAACAAACACAGGTCTTCTTCTCACTGTCCGCATGGTCTGGATGTCTGGGTCGATATTTATTTGGTACATAGGCGTTTCGTAGAATTTGAGGATGTAATTGTGAGAACCAATTCGAAAGGAAAAAGTGTCTTCTTCATTTAAATAGGCAGCCTCTATCTCTCCTTGTATATCTCCAGACGACTGCTAAAAGAGAAGATATAGAACTTGAGGTCTGTCTTGATTTAAGCTCGTTGCAAATAACATTCTCAGCCAGTTGTTCGTCAATCACTTAATCCTATGTATTGAATTCATTATTAATTGCACTAGCACACATTAACAAGAGGCAAATTGCTAAACCAGTACCCCATTGGTTGTGAATATCTGAAAATCATATATATGAACTGCGTAAGCAGTAGTGAAAATAGGGCCGAAAAAATTTAGGCCTGTACGGGATTCGAACCTATGACCTCAGAGATACCGGTGCAGTGCTCTACCAACGGAGCTAACAAGCCAACTGGGAGCTGGTCATTGTTTTGGTTCTTTATAAACCCGTGAAGTGATGGGTTAACGCTTGTAAACATTTGAAGATCATATTTATGAACTGCGGTTAAAGAACCGAAGAAATTAACTGCGGCTTGTTAGCTCAGTTAGTAAAGGCCGATAGTTTCGAAAGAAACTGTTTGGGGCTGCGTCGGCGGGAGTAACGAAATAATTTGGATATATCAACAAAGTTGAAATGATAAATTGGCCACCGTAATGATTACAAAAGCTGACGTTTCGAGCGTTAGCCCTTCGTCGGAGCGAATAGAGGAATTGTGGGTTGTGTGTGCTTTTAAAGGCAGAAAATGGAGCTACGTTATTGGTGGGNGCACGGAAAGCCGTAAAAATCTTGAACAAAAGCTCATCTTTCAAACCGGCAGTCTAAATCCCACAGGGATCAACGAACGCTTTTCATTCCACTAATTTATTCACGTTTTTCTCGTTGCCATGCTCCCACCAATAACGTAGCTCCATTTTCTGTCTTTAAAAGCACACACAACCCACAATTCCTCTATTCGCTCCGACGAAGGGCTAACGCTCGAAACGTCAGCTTTTGTAATCATTACGGTGGCCAATTTACCATTTCAACTTTGTTGATATATCCAAATTATTCAGTTGGTAAAGCACTGCACAGGTATCACAGAGGTCCTGGGTTCGAATCCTGTACAGGCCTGAATTTTTTCAGGCCTTACTTTCACTACTGCCCAAGTAGTGTTCATTTCTGCGAAGATCGATCTTACTTACCATCGTTTCAGCGTATTTCTTCCAACCATCATTGTCTTTCCAATACCAAAACCAATGTGTAGATGATTTGTTGTTCGGCTCCTGTACAAAGGATGGTGTTGACCATCGACGGAGCAAGAACTGGGAAGAGGTGGGCGAGTGCATGGACATCTCCTCGAAATGAACTTTCACTTGAGATGATGATGACGCACTGGGAAGAGGAAGAAGAAGGAATGATCATTTCAAATTGTGTTGAAGATAATGAAAAATAAACTGCCTGGGCCTCAAGATGAAACAGTGTTGAAATAGAAGCAAACATTTTCCTTGCATGTTCTGGAGACATGATGTATAAATAATCTGACTAGCTAGAACGTATTGGCTTCGCTGGAATATTTCGGCTGAATCATCCAGCTTTCATTACTCCCGCAACTCAACTAAAAGCTGCTATCTTATTATAAACCGTTAGCTACTTACTCTTGTCTTTCTTGTCTAGCCTCATTAATTTACCTCAACGCAGTATCTGTAAGGTTCAACGGAACTTCTAGATTATTAACGTCACAGTAAAGCTTTTCCAAAGTCACATCGTCTGAAGGGCCGAAATTTTCCCACCAATAGGAATCTGCCTCTTTAAACTGCCAGCGGTAAAGGGTGAACTCACAACCAGCTGTTAAGAAAAGGGTTTGATAAGAGAACACAACTTCTGAGTGAATAACTGTTTCCAAGAGAGATCAAACAGCATTTAACAGCTAGGAAATTGTTGATACTCATTCTTAAATCCCTCGATCCAGGGATCAAAGTGTGAGCTAATTTGCCCTGCCTCCCTATCGCACCATATCGTCCAATTTCAAAGGGACGTACAATAAGTAATGTGGAAAATAAAGGGTAGAAAAGCATATAACAGAAGCGCAACAAATAAAGGTGATAAGTACTTAAAGAATACTTCTGAAGGAGCCAGCTAGCCGGTCAGTCGTCAAAGGAAAGTTTTCCGTCCTTCAGCGGCCACATGGTTGGTGGGTCAGTCAGTCACTTATCATCTGAGTCAGTTAACCAGTGAGTCATGCAGACATTCATTCGATAGTAAACATTCATACAGCACTAAACCAGCAAAACAGTCAGTTTGTCAATCAATATCTCTGTCAGTCAGTCAGAATTGTAGTCAGTTTGCTCGTGGGCCGGTTAGTCGTTCCGTCCGTCGGTCAATCAGTTATTAGTCAGCTAGTTCGTCAATCGGTCACTCATTGTGTGAGGCAGTCCACTTAGTTGGTCATTTCGTAAGTTAGTTTGTCAGTCACTAAGTCAGTTAACAAATCGATAAATCGGTCGATCAGCGAATCTGTAGGTTTTTTCGTCACTCAGTAGCTCAATCAATAATTTAGTTAGTCGGTCCGTTGATCAGTCATTTAGTCAGATAGATCATAGTTAGTAGTCCCCTTCTAATAACTATGTACAGATAGCATGTCAGTCGGTTAGTCCGACACTCATTTCACAGGTCAAGTCGCTCAGTTAGTCTGCCTGTCATTTGAACAACCACTCAAATGACAGATCAGTCCGGTAACTAAGTTTGTCGTTTTGTCGGCCAGTCACTCAGTAAGTGGATCAGTCTACCATTCATTATGTCATTCAGTAATAAAGTCATTCAGGTCAACTGATTACTAGCTTTGTCAGTCCGTTAGCCACAGAGTCCGCCAGTCTCTTGGATGGTCAGTCAATCGGTCTGTGAAAGAGCGTGTGGTTGACAGACTACCTAGTCAGTCATTCAGTCAGTCAGTGAATCAGTTCGTCCATCTGTCAGTCAGTTAGAAAGTCAGTCAGTTGGTCGCTTAGTCATTCAAGCGGTTAGTTACTCAGTTGGTCAGTCACTTCTGATTAATCAATTAGCATTCAATCGTGTTTCTTACCGTCTGTCAATTCCATAAAAATCTTCCTGAAGGAAATCAGTATATTCTGAAAGAAAGCACTTTTCTCTATAATATTTCTTGCGTATCCAAAGATAAACATCACAGCTAAGCAGAAGAGGCAGATGAATAAAATGAATAAATATCTTATCGCCACCCAGACGCACTTGACAACAATGGCGGTAACAAAAAACATCACACAAACTTTTATGGCCGCTGCTGCCACGTAACCAGCAAATAAATGTGCGCTTAAACGATCCAGTTTCTCTTGAATGATTCTTGCTTGGCTACTGAAGGTGGTAAACATAGAATCGAAGTACCTCTTGACCTTTTTAACGGCGCTAGAAAAAAAATTTCTTGTGCCTTGTTTGTTCCAATGCAGCAACATTGTCACGATCACGACGCCACACAAACAACACAGTTGGAAAAAACTTCTCCAGTCCATTCTTAAATTTAAGGCCCAATCCGAGAATAATGTAAATAGGTAATACAAAATAGTGAACGCGCCATATAATGCGAACAACATGGTGGACTTGATGCAGTAGAAAGCAACTCTCAGCGATTCCATTACGATTTTGAAGATAAGATAGAAGGCATACATTGTGATACTCGCGATCATTTTAAAAGCGAAACAAGCGAGGGAAATCGACAATCCACACAGCAACCAGAACCAAGATCGTAAATGATATACGCACTCGACCATAACAACAATCATGAGCCACATGGCAATAATTTTTATCGCCACAACTGCCATGTAAGCAGCCGAAGAATGTCCACTTAAGCGATCCATCTTGTTGTTAATCATCTTTGCTTTGCTACGTATGATTTTCCATAAAGAGTTAACGTGCATCTTGACCTGGTTAACCCTATCGAAGATTTTGCCATGAAAACCATTCCACTCGCTCTGTTCGAAGCTTCCGCTATGGCTCCTCGAATTGTTTCTTAGAGGCATCATGCATTGAAGGATTTTGCTCAATATCAGCGGTAAGATTCGTGTATCTTCTAGGTTTCGTTTACCGTTTCAAATGGCCTTCAGTAGAGTATTCTGAAACCTGATCGGTGAAGTTCGCAAATCTACAAATGTGAAAGCAGGTGTCCAAGCCGGAGGTGGTGATTGCGTGATTTTTAACGAAAGCGAGGTTAGCGTTTTCGATTTCGTCTCAATACCGTGTCAATATTAACAGGGGAGTGACTGCGAAAGCGCGTTTGAAACGGGAAGTTAATCAACGTTTTCCATCGCGATATCAACTGTTTTTCCACTGGTAACGTTGAATTACCAGTTGCCTTCGATCTTTAGTAACCTTGAGCTCTTCAACAAAGTTCTAGCTTTGCTGATGGAGATATAGTCACCTAAATTGTAAGGATTAAATAAAGAGATGGCTGAGCTTAGATGAGGATGATTCTGAAGGATTAGTGGCCGTTTTTTAATGATGAGGCATGAATCACGCGAGAGCGACGATAATAACTTTTGGGGGCCTCATCTCAGTCGAAATTTGTGGGCCCCTGCTACAACGGAAAAACAAGGATGAATTTCGCTAAAATTAAACTCTGCTTAAGATATACTGATTATGATGGAAATTGTTACTCGTTGTAAAAGTCTCGAAGGAAAATGCTCTGCGTAATATTTTTTGAATAATACGTTTCCCAACGCTTAGTTGATCAAGGATAAAGCTTAGCCAACCATGTTTGTGTCAAAAAAATTAAACACATCTGAGATACGACGAGCACATGACTAGTAAAACTACCTGTTTTTTATTGCTTCGGTAAGCCCAAAGAAAATTGAAAAATTTTAAGGTATAACAGAAGGAAAATTAGCATTTTCGTTCAAACCTAAATAGTATGCAAATTATTCGCGCCACCCTATAAAAGCACGCATGTCCTCAAATTTTAATAAACTCTAATTCCAGATTTTTTTATTCACTTTTATAATTTTGACCATTTCATGAAAGGGGAGCTTATACTCTTATGCTTTAATGGGTCGTGATATACTCGCTTATACTCTTATGCTTTAAGCGGTTCGCATTGCAATTTTTTACAAAATAGTCCAAACTCTTTTAAACCTGACCGCGTCACTTATGGCGGGCCAAGAGAAAAAGGACCACATGCTAGCACACAAAATTTAAAAGCGGGATTGCATCGCGTTGTATCATACAAAGTTACTAAAGTTGCACTGCTTTACGGAGTGGGGGAAGGGACAACTGCCATTTAAGGTCCTTTACAAAAAAAAAACGAATTACGAAATTTTGCAACTGTCGGCGGATTCTCGATATTGATGGTCACAGGCTCTTAAGAGTTATATTTAAAAAAGATTTTAAAGGAAATAGCCGTGAAACGGAGGAGTGGTGAAAATCCACTTGAAACTTTAAGAAATTTCAAAAACTGAGAAACTGCATACAATGATTACGTTCACGTTGTTCACAGAAGAATATAAGCAAGCTTCCAACGAATTATTTGCCGCTATTACCTCTGCGAGACAAAAAAAAAGAAAAAACGATATATATATATATAGCGAAGCTCACCAGTTTCTAGTTTGAGCACTCTAGCATGGCTCAAATGGTACCAAAAATGTGGAATCATTTGGGGTGGCTTTATAGCTTCACCCCCATCCTAGAATCAGAACTGCACTGATGAGGCCTACAAGGCCGAAACAGTAACGTCTGCAGTTAGATATAGCTCTTTGACATTATAAAGCTTTGCTTTTACTAGGATGAGTCGTGTCGTAAAATTGTGCGAAGCTCTAAAGTGTCTAGCTTGTGCACTCTGGCATTGCTTAAATGGTACCACAAATGTGAAATCATCTGGGGTGACTTTACAGCTTCACCCCCATCCCAGAATCAGCACTACACTGATGAGGCCCAGAAGGCCGAAACAGTACAATTTTGGTTGTGTTTTTGGTTTACCAAGTCAATCTTCAAACTAGAGGTTAGTTTGCCCTTTGGGCCTTCTTTAACTTGCTTTTTGATTATGGAATCTACTGCGAATTTGGAGGGGATTGTGGAAGATATTTTGAACGCCGCGAATGAAAATGCCGAAAACTCGTCCAATCATATGCATCGAGAGCTACCCGTACTTCTGGCACAAGTTCCATAACTAGAGAACAACACGTGTGGCATGTGGAGAATAACATGCCACAGCGGCCGAAAACCGCCTTCTTTACTCCCAATAAATTAACGTCTGCCCGCTCTATATTCGACGCGCTGGCATTTTCGAAGGTCTAACCGACTGACATCCAATGTTTGCAAAGAAAACTCAACGGCGAAGTGGTCGTTACTTTTAAGTCCATAACTGTCAAGGAAAACTTCCTCCGTTTAAATTCTCTACACATTAACTCAGAAAATTACGCCCTTCAAGATGTGGACAAGCCCTAAACTTTCCTGACGATTTACGATGCACCTTTTGAACTGTCAGATTTAGCTATAATTAAGCGGCTGTCACCTTTTTGCGACGTTCTACATTACCGCCGTGGTAAACATTCGTGGGCCCCTAACATTTACAACGGTCTACGTCATTATTGTGTTCGTGTGTATAAACCCATCCCGAGTTTTCTCCGCTTCGGCAAATTTCAAATCTTTATCAAGTACAACAGCCAGATGCCTACCTGTCGTAAATGTAATTGCCCCGGTAATTTTGGTAATGTATGCCCTAACAAGATGTGCTTCAATTGTGATGTTACCGGACACGAAGCGCGAGTGTGCCCACGCCCAACTCTTTGTTGTATTTTCAAGCAAGAGGGCCACTATGGTGTTAATTTCCAATACTTATGGGTCTACCCAGCTATCCATGGCACCGCAAAAGATGAATTGGAACACGAAGACATCGACACGTCTGATGACCAAAAATAAATTGATGAAAATCTTCCACTCCCTTTCGCTCTTTATGGAGGGGAAATTGGGACAAAATTGAGACTACCCCATGCCCTTGGATCGTAATCCGATGGCATTGGATCGTAATTCTATGGCATTGGATCGTAACTCCATACCATTGGATCGTAACTCCATGCCTTTGGATGGTAATTCGATGGCATTGGATCATATTTCGATGGCATTGGATCGTAACTCGATCCCAGGGCTTTATGGGTAATTATCAGCAGGCTCGCACAGAATTCTGGTTACCGCCATCTTTAAAATTACCCCGCACAAGACTCAAGGGGAAGTTTGACGAGGCCGTCGGAAAACAAGATTAGTAAACTCTACTTGACGTTTCGTATGTTTCGACATACATCTTAGGAAGTGACAGTTAATAATACACGCGGCCACTAAGTTTAAATTTAAGATAAGTAACTAAATAACAAAACAACGAACAAAAGTCGAGAAGAAAAGAATTTGCATACATATAAAGATGCAAACTACTGTAGATAAAGCTTATCGCTGCTGACATTATCGTTTAGAGTAGGTTTAAGCTCTTGAATTAATAGAGTCTCCTTTATCTTGCAATGAGTATCAGAACGACCTTTTGCTAATATCTCAAAATGGTCCCATTTCATGTTGTGACCAGTTGACGTGACGTGGTCTGCGATAGCAGATGTATGACAGGCACTTGTGAGTCTTTTAAAATGTTCAGTTAATTAGTTACTTATCTTGAATTTAAACTTAGTCGCCCCGTGTATTATTAACTGTGACTTCTGAAGATGTATGTCGAAATATACGAAACGTCAAGTAAAGTTTACTAATCTTGTTTTCCAAGATGCGTTTTACTGTCATGTTTGTAACTGCAGTTTGTGTGTTATTCTTATCAAGCTACGATGGCCAAAGAGAAAGAAGTTTTATGACGAGGCCGTCAATCTCGTTCCCAGGGTCTTCTTGGTAATTTTGAAGACCATGGGAACGAGGTTTGGGGTCCACTGTATATATGGTCAGCAATCTTACTCAGCAGTGCGCCATCTTTGGACTTCCATTTCAAGAGCAAAATCTATCTAAAAGGACTGTCTACGGTCGTTAACTACACATAAAAAAAACTCGAAGAAGCCTTAGATTTGAATCCTCTTATCCAGTGGTTTTTGTCTACGTATCTTTAAGTTCATTTTAAGTCTAACAGAAACAACGACAAGGAAGGTTGGCAGAAGGCCAGGATTGCGATCCAGTGGAAATAGTGCGTCAAAATCTGAAAAGTGTATTGAAAGATTTAATATTCAAAATAGAAGGCCACTCAACAACAAATGATTATATATAGTACAAAGTTGATTGGATATTCAGTTTGTTATTAAGACCTGGAGGAGAGTTTGATAAGGTATTGACACTAATTCTATTAAAAGTACAAAACCTTCTTGCCACTGAAACCAATAATATTATTGGAAGTGAGCTTTCACATTGTGCCTCAGTGCCCCCACTATTACATAGTGGATCAAGGGGTAGACCCAAGTATAACATCCCAAGTAAACACATAGAATATTTACTGGATAGTGGCTAAAAGGCCACTGATATTGCAACCTTGATAAATGTCAGTAACAAAACTGTTTACAGGAGACTTCAAGAATACATTCTTGGTGTTCGTGACAGCTACTCGAAATTGACTGAACAGGAACTGGATACATTGATCAAAACTGTAATGAATGAATTCTCCATTGCTGGATACAAATCTATGCAGCGACATCATCTTTTCCCAAGACCCGCTTTGGAAAGGGCCAGGAGTTCTTTACGGGTCGGAGTAAACCCACAATCCTGATGTGCCAAAATGCAAACGTCATGAGTCCATGTCTCTAGAGGCTTGAATCTCTTCTTGAATATCGAAAATAAAAGGAAACATAATATTTCTGTTGTGAAACCGAATGTTCTCAAACTGATGGTGCAAAAAAATAATGCCTTTTATATTCTTATGCTCTAATAGCATCAAGGAGTAGAGCATAGAGGCAGCTACACTTTACCCCTTGTTCAGGCAATTGAGAATACCAGTAACCCTCTCACATGTATATTCTGAATGGTAGGGTTCACTCAGAGCTTGAAATTCTAGTATTTATTAATGCACAAGGATGTTTGTCACAAGATGCTCATCACTTACAGTACATGCATTTATGGGAAGCAAAACTTTGTAGTCTTGGGGATTCTGAAAAGTAGGAGGGAACAGGCCATATTTGATTTTTTTTTGAGGGGGGGGGGGGCAAACAAAAATGTTGTTTGCCCTCCCCCATACCCATGGACAACGTTGTCCATGGGTATGGATGTTGCAATTGTCCATCAGTTTGTTTTGGGTCTGACAACTGCAAAGCATTGTCTACAATTATCGCTTCCAGCTAACTGAAGCACTTCTTTTACCACAAAACTATGGATGTCCTCTAAGCTTAATTCACCAATCAAAATCATGTCAGTGGGCGAGAAGGCTTTGCTCACATGCTTTGCTGCAAGCAGTTAAGTGCCCGTCAAGGCTGGAATTTAAAACAAGGTAATCACTACTCTCATTTAGGGAAGAATGCTGTTTATTTGATGTCAGCAGCTCTTTTCGCACAAGAGAGATTCACGATTTTAAGTTATGCAAATTAGCAAAGAAGTGAAGTCACAAGACCACTACTCCATAACCAGACAACAATTTTTCCCTTATAAGTTCGGTGGGATGGTCAGAAAAAGATCAGACTTGGTACTATGAAAGACATCCAACACTTCAACTCCTGGCATGCTAATAGACCACCTCAGCTTTGTATGTAAATTGTCCTTTTCAGGCCATTTGAGGTAAACATGATTATCTTTCTATTGAAAAGATAAAATTTTCCTCTTACAAAAAGATGAGAAAACAAAGAGTTAATTCTCCCGAGGGTATCATGTTTACATCACGTGATCTGAAAAGGCTAATCATACAAAGCTGAGGAGGTCTATTGGTGTTGCCATGGTAATACCTTTGGTGCCAGGTTTTTTTTTTTTCGGTAATTTATCATTACAGATTGCTGAAATACTACATAAGTTATAAAAATACAAAAATACCTGTAATGGTGATATTGAAAAAATCTTGAATACAGTAAACACCGGCATATAAGAACACACGATTTTGGTAGTTATATTAGGCTGATTAGGATCTTATTTATCGGGTACTTAGTGAAAAATCAGCCTCAAGATGTTCTTAAATTGTTCTTAATTTTCTTTTTGGAACACAGAACTGTAACTATGCAAAAAGTGTTGGTTGAGCATATATTTGGGATTAATAATAGAACAAATTGACAATAATGTAACAATTAGCATGCATAAACAGATACAAGACAACATGACAGCTGATAGAGCTGTGAATTTCTGGCAGCAGGCACACATTTTCTATAATTTTTTATGCCTTCTCCATTTTATAAGAACATCTTATATTTCCAGGTTGGTTTTGTTCTTATAAAAGTGGTGCTTTAATTGTCAAATTTAAGCCTGTTGTTCTTAATCCATGTGCTCTTATCTGCGGGTGTTTACTGCAGTGAAAAAATTGCGTCAAAGGAGCTATTGATGTCTAATAAACAGTGTTCTTTCTTATTCGGAAAAGAACGATTAAATAAGTAATTATAAATCCAAGCATTGAGGTACACTTTAATATATGCCCGCTTTTGCTTGGAGGAGTTAACTCTTTTGGAAGAACTGAACTTTAAACACTTTGGCAATGGGAAATGTTAGAATATCAAATGGAGCAAAATTGCTAGCACCGGTTAGTATGCTTGCCGTGTCTAGCTCTATTATTTGCAGTGGTCTTGTATTGCAAAATGTATCTGTGTTCATACTTTATTACACTTCCTTTCTGCAACACCAAAATTTCGCGATTTTTGGATGGCAATATGTTGAAACTCTTTATTTCTACGCTTCTGCAAAAAACATTTGACATGCTTTCACTACAAAGTCTTGAAATTAATTTGCCCATCATGTAATTTTCACAATTGTTTTAATCACGAAATTCATGAAATGTGCAATTCCAGAAATATCCATACCCCCAACACGGAAGGAATTGTCCAAAGGACCACCCCCACCCCTCTGGAATTTCCAAAGGAAAAATACAGTATTTCTATGAAATAAAAAACGTCTTAACCCTCTGGAAAATCAGGTAAATTGACC